TTTCTTTTTTCTCTTAACAGCGTCCGCCTCAATACGAATAAATTAATCCAATACAAATAGCTGAAACGATGAATTCAATGGAATTATCAGTATTTTATTTAATCGACGATCACGAACTTATTCAAATTAGAAAACAATTTGCTTGAACATCTGTTCATTATTCCAAAATTGCCCAAAAAAATCACGCAGTTTTGATGAAAAAAACAATGTCGAATTACAATGTTGAAATAAATTACATCGAGTTTTCATATGTTAATATACTATCTTTTGATTAGACATTTTACCGTATTATTCATCTGTACCCGGAAATTTTTACCAATTTGGGATGAAATGACTTCAGATCGCAATATTTTTTAATTTAGATTTTTCCATTTGCAAATGGCAGAGCAGTTTTTTCATAGCTTTGCAAACAATTCTTGCAGTGAGAAAGCAAAATTCAACGAGCAATTCATGCGAATTTCATAGTTTAAACGGCTGAATCCCATTTAACCCAGCCCATATCACGCAAAAGGCCCGAGGGAAGATCAAACGGCTCGACCGCAGGACAATTTTAGTAACCCAATAGAGCACGTCGATTGTTACAAACAACTTTTCTCCAATGGTATGACAATTTGCCCTCCCACTAACTCGCACGATGTTTCTCCGAAGCCAACCGAGACTTCTATATCCATTCATCCCCAAAGTTTTGGGGCTTGAATGGAAGCTGAGAATGACCCGTAGCCAGCGTGAATGGTCGTGAGGATAGTAGAGGCACGAAGTCAGCGTTTGTATTTCAAGAAATGCAAAAGTAAAAAAAAGAGAAACGAGAGAGATGGAAGAAAAATTTAAAAAGGTGGTAGGTATGACGATCGAGTAGCGGTGAAAAGAGACCGCCCGCTGGCTCTTTCGCGACACAAGTGTGCCATTGTGGCAGACTCAAGAGTCTTCGGTGGCATTGTTGGATCGCTCCTCTTTAACGCCATTAACTACGTTTTACCTTAAATTTGTCCCAAAGTGGAGGCCCTCTTGACAAATTTATGAAATATACGGCTTTCCAAACGGTTTGACGCGCATAATACATGATGTTTTTTCAAGCGTGAAAGGATTCGTGTTTTTCCCTTCATAGTACCGACCGAATTTTCTTGGCTTCTTGGCATGAGGACAACACCGACGGCACGGTGACATGAGACTTTTACCTTTTCATTTTTTTTTCTTTCACATTCTGAGAATCCGAATAGATGAATGAACGTCGCTGACGGTGAGGGAGAAATCATCACACCGTGTGAATTGAAAACAACGTCTGTTCGTGTCAACGTTTAGATCCATAACCCACGCATTAGCTTTCCTTCAGCTATTAAAGATTTCTTAAAAAGTTTTTATTTTTTGCCGAAATTGGATCAAACTCGAATCTATCACATTCAGATTCACTTTAAAAATGTAAAGCGGAATTTAATTCAGAGTTGAAGTGAAGGGTATGATAGATTGGCCTCTCATGAATTTCAGATAAAAGTTTTGTTGTGAATATTCCAGATGTTGGGCAAGTTTTACGATTACCAATGGAATAGTGATATAAAGGAGTTTGTCGTAGTTTCGTACCCACGACTAGGCACATTACACAAACAATGAATAATGCAGAATTTTGTCAATGAAAGTCCCACGCACGTTCAATTGTTGACCTAAAAGTAGTAAATTTGCAAAAGTCGATAATCCACTATGAAAATATACACACAGAAGAACCTGAACGTAAAATACGCTCTCTGAAGCATATTTTACGCTCAAAATCGGGGTAAATTACGGTCACATACACGTAATTTATGGTTTTGTATTCATCAATTATTATGATTTTCATTATATTTTACGTTTACTTATGCGTAATTAACGACGAAGAAAAAAAAATATTTTAAAAAATTATTTTAATTATCTACTATGAAAATATACACACAGAAGGACCTGAACGTAAAATACGTTTAAGAAGTCGTCCTTTACGCTTTCTGAAGCATATTTTACGCTCAAAATCGGGGTAAATTACGGTCACATACACGTAATTTACGCTTTCGTATTCATAAATTACGATGATTTTCACTATATTTTACGTTTACTTATGCGTAAGTAACGACGAAGAAAAAAAAATTTTTTTAAGCGTAAAATACGATGGTTCTTTCGTAAATTACGCATAAGTAAATCGTAAAATACGTTTCTATTAAGATCGTAATTTACGATTTCTTAAGGATATCACACTACAGATTCAATCATTTTTTATCATCGACTTTGTCAATTAAATTGTGTGACAAATATTTGAAAAAAATCATAAAAATTCAGCATCATTCAAATTACATTTTGCACAGAATTATTATTTTCTTTAACATTCGTTGTTTATAAATAAACAATTGAAATTGTTTAAAGTTTCAGAAATGTTATTTTTTACGCATGAAATCGGTTTATGGTACAATTCTGAATATGAATAAATTTGTTACGATTCCGAACCAATGATTTTTTTTGTGGAAAATGGTTTGTTTATTAATCAAACCGCAAGTAATTTTCGAAAATTTCAATTTTATAATTATTTCATGAATCTTAAAATGTTTTCTAATGGTTCATTATCGAGATTCAAATTCCGACCTGCAAAGTTTAAATAATAAAATCACCGTAAAAATCCGAAAACTAAGGGTCAAATGGGGCCCAAATGAAAGCTCTCATGTTCGAGTACAAAAGTAGAAAAGCATTTTACTGGAAAAAAATAACCAAAATACATCTTCAACCCCAGTCTGGCGAGGGGCTACTCACTCCCTGACTGACACCATGACTTCGAAATAAAGTCGACTTCACGTGATTTCAGGGTTGATTTCAGTGAACTTGAGTTTGACTTCGGTGATTTCGGGAAAAAATGAAATCAATGACTTCAAGTGGCTCGTGACATGACTTTGTGACTGCAATTGACTTCGAATGATTTCATAGATTCGAACTGAATGATTTCAGAGGCAATGTAGTGATTCAAATCACGATTAATAAAGCTCAAGGAACGGGGCAGAATGGGCCGGTTCAAGGTTTCGAAGTCTGCTTATTTTACAATAGGATTCAGTGAAACTTGTTCTTATTTCAAAGCATGAAACAAGAACTGGACAAGGCTTTACTTGATTTCAATCTGTCAATCTCGAATTTTCCCAAATAAAAAACAATTAAAAATTAATTTCCAACCTTTATATTTGAAGAGTGATACATAAAGTATTTTACAAATTAATTATTTAACCTATCAACTGTGTTTTTTCAAAAATATTTTTTAACCTTATCAAAAATGCTCCCATGGAGCTTTAAATCGCCAGTCCCACATATCAGTGGAGGGGAAATTGTTTTTCTGTAATCTTTTATATCGATGTAGCCGTGAACAGTCATTGGCTCGGATTTCAAACAATTCAAACTCTCATCCAAAATGTACCAATGTCACAGAACTTAATAAGGAGTACGATATCCTCTTGAATTCAGTGTAAGAATCCTGCTTACTGACAAAAGTAAAAATATTATTTACTACGTACGTCAACGCGGTACGTTAGCCACAGTACGGTACGCCAGTTAATTTAATTGATTTCAAATGACTTCGATGTGATTTCATGACTTCGGCATGATTACAGAAATGATTTCAGAGAGTTGAAATCGCGTGACTTTAGTGATTTCGATGACTTCAATGAATTCACATGATATGAACGTGACTTCACATTGACTTCGACACAGAGTGGCGCCATGACTTTGGGAGTGAGTAGCCCCTCGTAGTCTGGTCACCAAACGCGGCCCTGCGATTTAGGTCACCTCCGCGGGGATTCGCCGCCGTGTTATTTAGGCTTTAGCATTGCCGAATTCATTCTACACTGCCCGGGCGCGTTCAGTGAGTTTCCGGCAACGTCGCGTCATGGACAATTTCATTTAACATGGGAAAAAATAATCCATCTGTTCGAAATAATTTGATTTCTTTCGGAACTTTAGCAAATATGATGTTCTAAAAACTACTATATTTTTTTTAGACACTTCAATGGACAAAGTCATTTTTTTTAATTTTTCCGGTTAGGCAATCAATTGTAATTAAAGAAAAACGATGCGCGACGGGGTTTCCCTCATAGGGTGACCAGTCTAGGGTTAAGCGTGAATCTAGCGTAAAGTACACTTACTGAAACGTAAAAGACGCTCTGTTTAGACGTAATTTACGTTTTTATTTAGACCATAAATTACGACTTTTTGAAGCTTAAATTCTGATTTCCATGAGGGAAAAAAGCCACCAGACATCTTACTGGCGTTGAGCGTAAATTATTTTTAGCAAAACGGAATTTACGTTTAGGTTTTTCTGCGTGCAATTCGACGATAAACGATTATGATGGAAATACTTTTCTTCGAACCCTTGCAAACGGAAATATGATGAAATCCGACATTCCAGTACTGAACACTCCTCTCAACCCCTTCGATGTTCTGAAGATATGGCACAATTTTATTAAAAACATATGAAAACCAATATTTCACAGGAATTCAGCCCGAGGCGTGAGGAAAATCAGAACAAATTTGGACGCTTTACCCGACTACCCACGGAGATAACACGTTTGAACGCATCAGATACTCCATTCACTCACATAGATTTCATGTTCTGACCCACTCTACCTCTCCGCCTTCACGACTTACTCGGAAAATACTCACCCACCTGCAATGTCCATGAAAAAAGTAAACCTGAACAGCTCAAGTGATCCAGACAATAGTGACTTCGGGTAAACTGAAAAATCTTTATACACTCTATCATGACCGAAGGAATTCACAAAGAGAAATATTTGGAATCTTTCCCCTCGAAGAATTTAATATTGATGCTCGAGTCTGTCGTTTCAAACGTGTGAAAAAAAAATTATCCCTGGAATTTCATTCATTGGTATTATTGCGGGTGACTAGCATGCGAAAAAATGTCCAGACGTATTTTCATATCAATGAATTCAATTTATTCATGTTTATCCGATCATAAATATTACAAAATATACAGTCTTTCTGGTCTTTTCAACATACATACATCATTTGTGATTTTCTTTTTTTGCTGAGAGCAGCAAATGGTTTAAATGGTCAATGACTTCTCCATATTTTACATTTTATATAACGTAGGAGAGTGGTAAAATGCACATTTGCGGCAGTTTTTTCACTATTCATTTCTTACGAAAAGTACTTTTGTCCCTGAGGAATTTCTTTCTGAGTTGTGGGTATATTTTTCAAATTCAAAACTGTCCACTTGCCTCAGTGTCCCCTAAATCTCTCCAATTCTCATACAGTCATAAAAATATCTAAAAGTACAGTCTTTAAGTTCTTCTCGATCATTCAGATAATATACAAAAATATACACAAAACTGGTGTTTCACTGAGTATTGTAAAACCCGATGTTAACAGTCTTTGATCAATAAATTCATGAGTTTACGATATTTTCAACAGTGTGCTGGGTGCAAGAGCCCCCCCTAACATTAGGCTTTTTACTGATATGAGTGATATAAGGCTCTAAATGATCAGCTCGACGTTTTCTCGATGAGAGATCGCAGAGTTCGGTTCTATCCTCCGGTCCCTGATAATCGTAGAAGCTGGATAGCCTCGGATAACCTGCCTCGAATACAGGTGATGTTCTCAGCTCCTTCTTAACTTCCAACTCCTTGCTATCACCAATCTCCTCCCTCTCTTCCACAATCCTCTTACCCTCTTCCTCACTCTCATCCCTCAGTGTACCCTCATTGTCACACTTGCTCGATTCATCACTGCAGCCGTCCTTCTTCTTACCACAAGTTCTCAAACAACAGCACTTGGAACTTTGTCCCGTTGGTAATTCTTCCTTCTTGTACTTAACACGACGATTTTGAAACCAAATCTTCACTTGTTTCTCCGATAGTTTTAATTTTGTTGCTATTTCAATCCGCCGCAAACGCGAAAGGTACATATTGTTGGCAAACTCTTGCTCAAGCTGCAGCAACTGGGTACTCGTAAATGCTGTGCGAATCCTCTTTGAGCTGTTGTTCAGAGAATTCGGAGATGCTGGTGGAGGCGTGGGTGTGCTGTTTCGAGATGATGAGTCGTTTGTTGATGGTAATTCTGTAAGCGGAAATCAGAAATTAGTTCCATTGTTTGTTACCAGATTACATCGTGTCAAAAGTTCAGCTGAACGAAATTTACGCAATCTGCTGTAAATAACAGGAATACAAAATTGCCAGCTACATCACTTTGAATTGAGTTACTCTACATTTGACGAATTGAAAAAAACAAATCACTCTTATACTCTGTACAACGCTGTAAAGGATCTTCTCAATTTGCCAAGGGTCATAAAATTTTCGCTTACCTGATATTCTAGTGACCGAGGCATTGAGAGGCGACGGTGGACTTTGACCAGATAATGGAAGCCCCATGACAGCTGGTGGGCTCAGCGGTACCGGCACAGGTAGAGCTGGTGGCCTTGGTACAGGTCTCACTGGCTGATATCCCAGGCCGAGATTGAAAAAGTTGAACATGTAGTTTGGTAGTTGGTTGCCATAATAGGGAAGTGGATACGTTGGTGGTGAGTTATTCCCAATAAGGGAATCCACAAGGAAACTTCTCGACATGTTTGAATATTTGACGTTGTATGGCATCAACTAAAGTCACTTCTTGAATAAAACTCAACAATCAGTCTTCACGTTTCACAGTACACTATAATCCAATAGAAACTCAATTTATGATCCAAGTTGAAGGCCGAAACTTTGTAGTTTTTTTCCCCCCGGTAAAGATGAGGAAAAAGATTGAATTTTTTTCTGACACTTTTTTGGGATTGTGACCCTTGCGACTCGATGTTCCACCGAGTTCTGGGGTCTATGGGGTCCGGGGGGGAATATATAGCGGCTGTAACTCCACCCAGGGGTTGGTTTTTCGTTTGGGGTCCGAGGTGCTCGTGCCCCGCCCTTTTTCAAGGGGCACCAGACACCCAAATTCATCCCCTATTCTCATCTCCGTCACGCACACACACTCTCTCTCTCTCTCTCTCTCTCTCTCTCTCTCTCTCTCTCTCTCTCTTTCGAATGCATCTCTCTGGGGACAGAGCAACGAGCCAAACCACTATTCAAAGCACTAATTCCATCCAATCTCATTCGTAGGTTACCTACTAAGGCATCGCCCCGGTCTTTGTAGTCACTCAGTGCCAACCATGCATCTAATAGAAAACTATTGATGTTGGAGTTTGCCGGAGCTTGTGAGGCTGCGCTTATCAATTACATCATCTATTTTATTTTCTTCATAACAAGCGTTGACAAATATTTTTCATCGGTGTTAAACTACTCCTTGCTGCACCCTCGCACTCTCCGTTCTTCTTCCGTCGAATAAAATTAAAAATTTTTTTAATGAAGTTCTTAGTACACCTTTTCGGTTTCGTTTCATTTCACTTTGTCCGATAACTTGTGAAAGCCCGGAGAACTAATTTTTGAATGAATTTTTCATCCAGTCATTCACGAACACTTTCCAAGATTATTTAAATTCATTAGCTGTTTGAATAAGCACGTGCCGAAGAGCCCGAGGGAGCGGTTGAGATAAAAATGAGCGTGGGTAGTTCCAAGTGACTTTTTGAATTTCCCCCGTATTCATGAAAAGTGAGGTGGCTTATTAAACCCGACTGCTCTTAGTTGTGATCGATTGTGCAGATTCTCAAGGTTTCGTTATCAATTTTTCACCCCTATCTCTCTTATTCGATATCAGTGGAGAATAAGCGTGGTGAATCTAACAGATTGTCTTCAAGAGTGAAGCTAAGAGTCAAGTGATTTCAGGGAATCTAGTAAATTAATGGCTCGGCTTAGATAAATCTCAGAAGCCTCATCAAATGTAACCAACCCCGGTTGTTAACAAGATTCACGGTCGTGAGGAAACCCCACTGACTAGTCTCAGAGAGACAATCAAGATAAGCGGCTAGTGGAGAAAGCTGAAGAAATACGGGAGCGTTTTCCGTGGGGTAAACTACTCGGGGTCATTACTAAGTGCTTTTCATTATATATGGAATTGAACAGATAAAGTTAACGATTGCAATGCTCCAAGGGGGGTTGCAGAGATTATAGTGGAGGAGAAAGCAAAAAAGCTAAAGTTAAAGTGAAAGCGACACTAATCTAGGGAATGGGTTTTTTATAGAGTTCAAGGGATTCCGATTTCATGGAAATGAACTGCGGACTATATGGATAATTATCATTTAGACTGCGGGAAAGTGGATGAAATGGTCCAGTAAGGGTTGCAGGAACTCAACCAAGTTTGAGTTTTTTTTCCAAGATCAAGGTCCTTTATTACTCTGCTACGATACAAATGTATTGGAATCTCTTTCGCTAAGAGACGCGCTCTGGTGGCTGAATTGAGCACCTTTCTAACTGGGATGCGAAACTGTCAGCTGTATGAAGCGAACGAAACTTTTCATTATTATTTGAAGTAATTGATCATTAATTCTCGTAATCGAAGGCATTTTATTACGGTGCAGTGGAATGCGGAAAATTTATTGTTATATAATCGAATGTTATTAATCATGGAGTTTACTCCAAGGATAAATAAAGGCAACATTTATTGCTCGGTGTATGGATGTAAAAACAAGTCGTGTGTCAATCCAAAAGTGAGATTTTATGAATGCGAAGTTTGTAGACAAAATGCAAAAATTTCATAACTGTCACTGTCATTATTGCTCTTAAATACTTTTTCGCAGTGAATGAGATGTCCCGTATTGAGTAAACTTTTATTACTGGGTTGCGTATCCGCAAATTTACAAATTTCTAACATTGAAACTTTCATTTTCACGCAAACCGCAAATTAAATGTGTATACGATGAAACGATTAACGTTTCGCGCAATGGGCCAGCTGACCAGCATCCTGGTTGCATTACTTTCACGGTTGGCCACCAGACGGCCAAATACCAGGCCACGCCCCTACGAGAAATCCCAATATGAAAGAGAGATGTATGGACAGCCTGCATAGTAAAAAGTATTTTCGTGAGAAGACCCGGTAAACCGCGATTCTAACCTCGCTTCGTTCGGTTTGATCGCGGTTTACGGGCCTTCTGACGAAAAATTGCATTCATCACACGGTCCAAAAGTATTTTCTGACGAATGTGATTATAGGCCTCGCCTTCGGCTCGGCCTACAAAGCCACATTCGTCAGAAAATACTTTGTGGACCTTGTGATGAAAATAACTATTTATAGTGGTAAAATCAACTCATTTTGGGAGTTTAAGTCACCTTCAGCCCTGAGTCAAATTGTGGTATAGAGTGGATTTTTATTCTTCACTCCAAACTGCGTTGATTACCACGTTCATGTTGATATCATGACGGTGTCAATTTTCACTCCACGTATAACTTAATTCCGAAATTAATATAGGGGTGATTGGGGTAAAATGGACACTTTTGAGTTTTAAAAAAATGTTCATGACATTTTGAAATGTTGATGAAATTCAATAATTTTCTTTCCAATGCAATGAACAATTCTTGCCCTTTGTGATGAGCCTAACCTGAGCTCAATTGATAAATTTGTTTCTGAGTTATGAGCAATTAAAAAAAAACGTCTAGTGTCCATTTTACCCCATCCTCCCCTACTCCCCTCCCCGTGCGTTCGATCATGAGATTGATTCCATGATCTCTTGTTGGAAAAATTTATTTTGAAACCGATATTCAGGGAAAGATCGAAAAGTTTCAAGTTGGGACAATGTTGGCTACCGACGTTAGAGCTATGTTGGCTACCAACATTGGGGCAATGTTGAATTCAAAGATTCATTAAATGCAACATTTTCAATGTTGACAGCCAACATTGCTTCAACATTTAAATTTTTGGTGCAGTCAATGATGAATTCAAGGAATCATTGAATTCAATTTAAAATACATTGTCGTAAAAATTCAATTCGAACGCATATTGCTAATTTCAGAGCAAAAATATATTGACTATGTTATGACGAAAACAACGTTCCGCTTGTTTTTTGTTCCGTTCCGTTATTCTCGTTTTTTTTTCAATTTTATTTAGATGATTCTTGCTATATTTGAAAGAACATTTTGTAGCGCTATTATTTCAATTTTATTTTCGGACTCCAGAAGATTAAGTATGGATCTCTTTGCATTTAATTCAGAATTAGTTCTTCTTCATTGTAAAGTTTCTTTGGAACTATGGAATTTCGTACATACACAGATCAAGTGAAACAGAAATCATACGGAGAGGAAAATTGCAACCATAAAAATAGCACCATGAAAATAAAAAATAACGTAAAAATTGCATTAAAACGTAATTGTGAGATATGATGAACCAGTCCATAAACAGAACAGGTTAAAGTTTTTAAAACGTAATTGCCATTCGTCTCGCACGCTTCCAGTTTACGAAACAACTTAAAAATTTACTGTGAATAACTTGGATAATTTGTTGTTCTTGATGTGCTTTCTCCGTGAAAACACACAAATACCCCACGCAGGAAAAGATATAACAAAAATTACGTGTCAAAACATAATCCTGGTGCGAAATGCTCTCTCGGAATTGAGAGAATTTTACTCGAAAACAGAAAAATTGTGGGGCAAAAGGTGAATTTTTCTTCTTAATTCTGAAATCTTTACGGAGCGACACGTACTTTTTACGTGGCACTCTGTAAAATTTTACGGCACCGCCATCATGTATTAAGATTGCGTTTCAGAATGTCATTATTTCCGTTATTTGCATGGTACTTTCCCTCAAAGTTTTTCCTTCGTGCAATCCTTTGGTTGAATTACATTTCAATCTAATATAATTAACCCAAATTCATCTTTTGTCACACGATTTGCTACGAATTTCCGTAAAAATTTCCGAAAAAAGAATTTCGTCATACCATAACTTTAATTGTCACGTAACATCATATATGAAAAAATTTAAGGATATCCAAGTATCTTTTACAGTTTGGTACAAACTACACTATAGCTTCCACCATTTTCAATCATAAAATCTGTCAATTAAACTGCCGGAAAAAACTTTGAAAAAAATCAGGGATATTCAGCGTCATTCAAATTACATTTTTCACCGAAGTGTCATTTTTTTAAACATTCGCTATTTATAAATAAATAATTGAAAATGTGCAAACTTTAGGAAACCTTATTATTTTAGGCGTGAAATCGATTTCCTGTAAAATTTGGAATATGAATAAATTTATTACGATTCCGAACAAATGATTTTTATGGTGGAAAATTGATTGTTTATAAATTATGTTATCAATCTTCCTCCAAAAGTAAATTTTCCAATTTTTATCAGTTTTTAAAAATATCTTCCAACGGTTCAATATCAAAATTTAAATTTAGACCTGCAAAGTTTAATAATAAAATCATTGTAAAATGTCTGGAAGCTTTGGGTCAAATAGAACTCAATTGAAAGCTCTGATGTTCGGCTAGACAAATAGAAAAGCATTTCATTTGAGAAAAAACGGCCAAAGTACTTGGATATCCTTAATAGAAAATCTTAGCGAATTCGCTAGACAATTATATTGGATTTCTATTGAACTTTCTATTATAGTTTCTGGCCGATGACATTAAAATGTTCTATAAAAAATATTCTATGGAAATAGTCAACAGAATTCGATTTTTCTATAGAACTTATTCTATTGAGATAT